GTTTTAGAAGAAGGAAAGAACTTGGGTTTGGGTCACCTATAAACTACCAAGCCATGCGTGGAATCAATTTCAAATAGAAGCTTGCTAGGATAGCATACAACTTAGCTGGCAATCTTTGGCTCTCTCTGACTAAGAGTAAGTGTATCAGCTCATGTTCCAATTTGACACTGACTATTTCGGGAATAGATTTTCACATATTGCCTGAACTGGGACTCGCTCAAATTCATATTCTCAGTCTCGTACCCTCATCAGCTGTGTATATGTGCTTTGATCATTGAATTGTTCCCAGATATTCTTTTTTTCTGCAAGCTTTCACGAAATATTTGGGCCTTTGTATGATAATGCTTGTAAATCTTTGAAAGGTCAACAGGTTCCTTTTTTTTTTTTTTGGGGTTCAGAATACTTCTAAAAGTCTTTCCGGTTTCAGCCTTAGCTGATTAAGTAGAGATAAAAGAACTTTCTTCTGATAAAAAAGACATTAAAATAGACATTATTACTTTATTTGCTGCCTGCTTTTTGGTGCTTTTAGTTTCAGATTATGAAACTTATTACTAGTGAAACTGGTTGGACAGACGGTGACAATCCTGTGCAAATTTTTTTTCTGTTTAATTTATTTTCTACAGCTAACATCTAATGTGTCGTTTCTGTTTTTGAACGAGAGATAAGAATGTTAAGATGATTTGAAGACGGGACCATTTCAGATTTTCTCGACGTTAAAGTTAGAAAATCTGGGCCAGATTATTACTGTTACTGAAGATCATTTTCAATCCGAGCAGGTTTCTTTGTGAGGCTGCTTAAGATATAACGATGCAAGTAAAACTCCTGATATGGCTTTTCGTCAAAGCTGCATTTTGTGTTTCTTTTGCTTAAGCATATTCTATGATCAAATTTGTGACAACGATAAGTGTATAAGATTGGTTTCTTTCTCCCAAGTCATCAATTTTAGTTCCCATTTTATGTTTTGGACATATCAATTGACTCAAGGACTCTCCTGATTTTGCATTTGAAGTCCTGAATTTGCATTTCGCGTGCTAGCCTGACAACTTGGATTTCCCTTCTATCACAATATCTTTATTGCTTTTACTGTATTGTTCCTAAGTGTAATTAAACGTGTCTAATGTGTCAGCATCTGATTGCTTTTCTTTTCCCTCTGATTATGTTGTCAGATATCTGCAGCTGTGAACTTGGCTGAGGAGTCGAAAATCCCAACATTAAGTGCCGAAAGCACCCTGAATTTCGATCTGTAAAATTTTTGTTTGAACAGCCTGGGCAGCATATAGATAGTCCATACAATTGGCTACTGTTTCAGCTCATTCTTATACTTGATCTGTATCAGAAGTTTTAAGTTTTGCCTTTCCATATACCGCCATAGCAACACAAAGCAGGAAGTCGGAAAGTCTTTCAAAAAATGGCTGTCTTTACAATTGTGGCATGACTTGAGTGGAATGCCAAACTTCTTGTGGCATGATAGACAGAGTGGAATGCCAAACTTTTTGACGATAAAGAATCTTCTGGTATTCCTTCCAATGATCGATGGTATAGATGAGATACATGGAATATGACAAGCACAGCTGCAATGCAATGACATTGCTGTCCATATTTTTCATTCAGGTCTGGAGAAATTTTTTTGAATTTGAACAACTTCGTTGACTGGATTTCTTGAGCGAAGGATGCAAAGATGATCCCTTCATTCACGGCAGATTAGATTGCACTGTGAAAGTGGGAGGGACCAGACCCGTCACTGAATGGTTCGGTTTATGATTTGAAAAGAGCCCTACAAAGTTGTTTCGAGTGACGAAAAATGTCTGGACTCTTTGAGGTCTGGAGACTCTGGACTATTTTCCCTGTTGTTTGTGGATCTGGTCACAAAGGGCATCACAATTCTCTGACTGGGCAAAGGGGTGGTGTTCCTTTAGGTCCGCTGCTTAGTACAAGACAAAAGACGAGGATAATGACAGGCTTTCCCAATCTTGGATTGGAAATTTCTAACTTTGCGAGAGAAGGAAAAGCAGATCTTGCAATTTCATTTACTACCTATGGTTAGGTATGCTTGATGTGCTAAAATACAAAGAGAATGTAGTATACAGAAGTATGCTGAGCCTACATTGAATGGGATCCCTTCATCATTAGATGTTTCAAATTCTTCTGTCCATAAATCTATGGAATTAACTCAAAATCCTCCATTTTCCCATCCGCAAAGTCTGCACCTTGAGGTCTAATTTTTTGAATATCATGAACCACTTGAGTGTAGAAGTATGCATATAATGCATTAGTAAGGCAAATATTCAGAAAAAGTTCATTAGCCAGAAACCGGGTGGAACATCTTTTTAAGCTCAAGACAACCACCAAGCGAACATTAGCAGATCCCAGTATAGTATACACATGCTTAGTTGGTATGTCGTCTTAAGTTTAGGAGGAAACGCTCGTTATGAGACATGGAGCCTGCAATTTTATAAACAGCCAAAAGGTTACCTTGATTTCACCAGATCTTATCTTAAGCAATTGTTCCAACATCCAACACTGGAGTTTTCCCAGCGGCTATTTTTAGTTCCAATGGACCTGCCTTTGGTCTATCAATGCCAAGTCTATTGGTGTTTCCTAGAATCAGCTCCGAACAGAGGATGAGGAAATATCCACTAGTCTTACTGGAAAGTGGAAACCATTTCAGCAACTTCATTGAGAGAGTAAAAATTAATGCTCCCTTGGGTACAATGGGTAGTCTTGAAATGAATCGAGTTACTTGGACATCCTGAAGTGAAGTTCCAAGAACGTTGTAGCTATTATGGCATTAGATGAAGATGAGTTACCTTGTCTCTGACAACGAGAGAAACTTGAGCACCTCTATTGCATAGATCCAAACTAACCTCCATGCCTGAATTTCCACAACCAACGACCAAAATTTTACTCCCTTTGAACTCAGCTCCATTTGTGTAATTGCTTGAATGCAATAATCTGCCTCGAAAATCTCCCAATCCAGCAATATCAGGAATAGCCGGTACTGCATTCTCTCCAGTTGCAATAATGAGCCATCGACACATAAATTTAAATTCACTAGTTTCTGCACACCAGATACCAACAGAACTCTCGTATGTAACTGACTGGACCTCCTGCCCAAACACAGGTACAAGCATGGTTCGCCTGTCGTGGGTCGCAGTCACGGTTGTTTCACATCCGTCGTGGTGGCATATCAGTTGAAGATCGGGTGATACGCACATTGTAGCACATAAAAATTTTCAAAAATTACTAAATTAGAAAATATAAAAAAAGGTACAATCTAAAAAAAATATCCGAATCAACTCGGATATATCGATCGATACCATGTATCACATATTCGAATCGATCAATATCGGTGGAGTCAGAACAAGTCGCTGTACATATGATATTATTCGCAATTCATGAATCGATATCATATCGATCCCTTCTATTCCGATTACAACTCGGCCGAGTTGTATTGGAATCGGCCGATATTGCTAACCATGGTTGTATCCAGTAGACGTGGCAATGAATCTTCAACACAAGGAAATATTAGGGGAGTAGAATTTTAGTACTTTACTCGAGTAAACAATTGTATGTAGAGTACACGTCTGTAATAAAGCATTTTTTTTTCCAGGAATAATCATGATTTGCAGAGACAAGTTGCTCCCTAGAATAAAAGCACTGTGCCAGGAACATCACATTTTCCATTGTTGTTTGTTCGATTAGACCAAATTTGGACAGGAAATATCATTGAGTTTGTTTGGATAAGAATTTATTTGATCCAGTTAGTGTAGCACTTTTTGTGATGTGATGTATGTGAGATAAAAAGGTGATTGGAAATTTGTTACGAAAAAGTTAACCTGTCCGTACAAGGCCCAGAAATTCCATAACAAACGTCCCTCCTTAGAGGCCGACGCCCTCGACGGCCTGGTAATTTTGGGACTCCCCCTTCAAGGAGGCAGAGCCTCTACGAGATTCGAACCTGGGATGTTGGGTTCGTTGCCTGGCTCTGATACCATTGTTACGAAAAGGTTAACCTGTCCGTACAAGGCTCAGAAATTCCATAACAGAATTGTGTGTATGATGCAAGCAAAACAAAATCTGAAATTTTTATTCCAAATTTTTGTTGTCCAAACAAATTCATTGGCTGCCCAAATATAAGAGAAAGCCAAATCAACTGACGCAACCTTATTCCATTTCCTGTGGACTGCGGCTCTCCAGGTTTCAGAATCCCCAACTCGTCATTAAACCCTTGCTACGAGGCACAGGCATACAACCTTAGAGTCAGGTTCTATTTCTTCTTTCTTCGTTTATTTGCATCTTACTTGATTACTATCTCTATATGTTGGGAAAAAAAACTACATCAAAAAATCGGAATGAAGAAAACAAAATATAAAAAATAAAAAGAAAATCATACATCACCTTTAAAACTGAAGGCTCCATTTAATTAAAATACTTTGCTAAAAAAAAAAAAAAAAAGAAGCAAAAACTCCAATTGATGATATGCTTAGTGTAGCAAATTATATCCATCTAGGAGGATCTCGTGGGTTGGGGCAGCCATGAAACTCTAGCCAAAACAAAGACAAGTTCGCATTGGATTGAAATCTCGTGGGTTGACATCGCTGTGTTTTAGTCTGATATCGGTGTTTAGCTATTGCTAACGTAAGACATCCATCGAAAACAAGACCATCACCACTTCGAAAACACGTCGCAGGAGAAGAGCTGATTCGATTCTCGTGCTGCAAGAACTAGTTCAATTACAAACTATTAAATTATGCCTTGCAAGTTTACGGAGCGCCGCCCAAGGAATGCATCCGTAGTTAGTAGAAATTCGATGTTCAAAGATTAACAGATACAGAAATTTATCTTTCATTTAGTTGTTATATCAATAGTCTTGACCGTGCAGCCACTACATTCGGAGACTCTGGAGCATTTAGCAAGTCATACAACACAGCACTAAGCTACGAAAATCTGTTTAGAGATTGCAACATTAAAGATTTTTAACCTGCTTACTTCTTCTGAGATATCCAAATGAGAATGACGGATTCACATTCACCCTTCAATTCAGTGCCAGTAGAAAACATCATCAGATCTCAACCCAAGAGAGCAAAATTGTTAATAACCATCAGCCATATTTTTTGAATGCTAAACAGGAACCAAATTGCTACGCTATCTATAACAGAAACACACAAGTTTTAAAGTTAAGTGGCAAGGCATAATGTTGATCTACTTTCAGCTTCTATGAAGGAGGGGGAGGTGGGGGAAAATTGCCCGGAGGAGGGGGTGGCAGATGTGGTGGCATAGATGGGGGCCCACCACCTAACTGCTGAGGAGGTGGTGGTGGCCGCCACACATTTGGAGCAGTCACCATGCCTACTGGTGGTGGTGGAGGCCTTGGTAAAGCTGGAGCAATTTGTGGAGGTGGAGGCGGCATGCTCCTGAACTGCTGCATTGGAGGTGGAGGTAAGGCAGTTTGACCTGGTGGTTGTTGACCCTGCCATGATTGTGGTGGAGGCAATGGCATTGGCGGGAACATGGAAGCCTGTGGAGGTGGTGGTCGGAATGGTGGAATGGATGTTGGAGGAACATTCCCATTAGCAAAAGGCCGTGGAGGGACAGGAGCAGCAATGTTAGCACTTGCTTGAGCAACATTTTGAAGTGTAGGAGGTCCGCTTGCAAACATGGTGTGTGGTCTGCTTTTCTGCACATTTGGATTACTAGCAGCCAGTACTCTTTCTGCATAGCATGGGCAGAATTTTAATACTGCATTTAAAATACCAGAAGACAAACTACACCGAAGCACATCCAACCATGGTTGGACATTTTATAACTTGCATATGGCGATGACAACATTCAAGTTAATATTATTGGACAGCCTCAAAACCATTACTTTGATCAGTGTAATTGAAGACACAATCCATCAATTATGAAAAAATTAACTAAATTCCTAATTCCAACCATGCAAGGTATACTATCATTCCTTGAATTGGAATTAGTAGAAACAGCATAGCCTTTACCCAAACTAAAATTGTTCGCTACCATCCGACTAGAGGTGGCAAATCAACCCACTTAACTAGATTTACCCATACCCGCCCATGAATAGATGAGTATGGGTATCTTAAATTTTTGTATATGGGTATAAATGGGTTACCCAATAATACCCATTTAATAAATGGGTATTATTGGATAACCCATCAAACCCAATTAACCCATTTAAATTCTCTTCCCCCCAAGTCTCTTCTTTTCCCCTACCTTTTTTTTTTCAAATTTTTCATTTTGTCATGATGTTAACATTATTATTATTATTATTATTATTATTATTATTATTATTTGTTGGTTTTATCTTATTATTTTATTTTTTCTTAGTTTGTTAACTTGCTCATTTTTTAGCATTACCAATTTATGATAAATTTTAGCCTATTTTCTTATTTTTATAAAATGAAATTTTAAATTTATATATGAAAAAAAATGTTAGGGGTTCAAAATTTTTGGATTAAGTTTTATATTAATTTTTATAGTACTTAATTCAAATTTTTATATTCGTATTATTCAATTATTAAATAATAGGTAATTTTGTGACATAGAGTATAAATAAAAAAAATTGGTAATTAAGTTTATTGAGCATTATAAGTAAATATTTAAAACTAATGATGGGTACAAAGAGTGGTATAAATTGATAACTTAGTTTGCAAAAATGAATTTAAATGAGTTTGCAAAAAGTTAAAATAAATGAGTTATAAATGGGTAATTGGGTTACCCAATTCATTTTTTGACTTACCCATTTATACCCATCTAATTAAATGGGTATAAATGAGTTGACTCACTTAAACCCATTACACATTTTACCCAACCCAAACCCGCCCAAGTCACCCATTTTAACACCTCTACATCCGACTTACAAGCATATGGATATGACACCATCCAAGCTCAACTTAATGGACAGCCTCGAAAACCATTACTTTGAACAGCAGTGTAATATACGACTCACAATACATCAATCGTGATAAAAGAATTAAATTCTTAATTCCAACCACACAAGCACCAACTTTAAATTCCCAGAAAGCATAGCACTTAATCTTTCCATCTCTGATATATTCTATCACCACAAAAAGAAAATGAAAGAAAGAAAGAATCTCACCTGCAGGGGTACCATGACGCTCGCCCTTTGTGTCTTTCTTGTACGCATAAGACACTGTAATTTGACGGTTGCACAGATATTGGCCGTTCATTGCCTTTCAGGTAAATCATTATTGAAATGCTCACAATTAGCTTCATAAACTAATTGTCCCGACAAAATTTATCCATGACACTATATAAAAAATCTTGAACTTCCAAACAGCAACACATCCTCGATTGCAAGGATGTGATGCTATTTGTCAACTCCACCAAATCACCACTAATGCAGCTAAATAAAAACTGAGGCAGCATAAGCAAAAGAGTATTGATATATCCACAATAATAACAACAATTTTCAGACTAAAAAAATTCAGTCACTAGGCATCAGCATTATGGATATTCCCAATTATAGGAACCTGAAGGTAAAAAGTATCTAAAATTTATTATTACTAAAACCGCTCAAAAAGGTTACAACAGCATTGAAAACCATATTAAATGAAAATCAAGGGGGCTCCAGACACCAACCAGACAAAAGGAAAAACTTATATTCCTGGAAGATAGACTTGATGTAATCTAATTATGAATATTTTCATTTGGATCCACATATGAACAGAATGAGATTCTGATGTCCTCCTTTAAAAACTTCAGGCAATTGGAGATGAAGCCCCAACTTTCAGTTAAAGAAAGTACCTCAATGGCTGCATCAGATGCCTCAAAAGAATCATAACTAATAAAGCCAAAGCCCCGTGAGTTCCCTGTCTCGGGATCTCTCATTATCTGCAATAACAGCAAACATCATACCTTAGAGGAAATGGGATTCAAGACTAAACATGTCACACTATGGTCCATAATTTAACAGCAATAAACACATAATTCCTAAATGTGTTCAATTTAACAGTGCCAGAAAAATCCCTATCAACCATGAGAAGTAGATAAGGCCTGTGATTCCTAAAACAGTATATCCTCGGGCAAACAACAACAGCATGAAATAGTTTTAGCCAAAAGAAACATTTGTTCTCGATTCAAATCCTCATCGACAGCCTTAGATTTGTAGCCCTACTTTGCTCGGAAGTACTTTAACAGCACAAATGATGCAAGTAGAGCTAAAAAGCCCCCAGACAAGAGGGAGGTAAAAGAGAAAAAAAAAGGAGATGGTTGTAAATTAAAGTAAGAAGCTTTGTGACAAGCAAGAATTGGTCCCACTAGAACAAATATGAGTATCCTAGCTTTTGTAACTCCTCCATGGCTATTTGGATGACTTGGCTCCCAAAGTACATCTGGCTATATTTGACTCATATATGGTTGTCAAGTAATGTCAGATCCAGTTAGACTTTCATAATCTTACAACCATAGGCTATTAATCCCTCAAATAATCAGCATACCATCCAAAGTTCTCTCCTTTGACAACTTATAATATAAGGTGCATATTTGTTGTTGTTCATATCAATATTTTCTAAATACGCATCACAGAAACATTTCGAATATTTGATTATTCCAAAACTTGAACATTGGAAGTTCCAACAAAGACAAACAATGACATACAAAGAAATGAACTAAATCAATAAAATGAAGTCAGCCTCTTAAAGATTAGCTGCTTATGCCTAGGGTAAAACCTCATACAAAGCATAAGAGTAAAGGCGTTACCTTTGGATTGGTAACAATGACTCCAAATGCACTGAAAGTATCATAGAGAAGTTTCTCATCAACATCCTGCACAAACATGGAAGTTATTGCAAGTGTATACAGGCGGTACAAAAGCACTGGAAGATCTGCAGAACTACCATAAGACGTTACAGCAAGAATTCACCCTAATGCAAGTGTGCAGGCTGAAGTGCATGTACACAGAATAAAATTTTACTGATATTAGGCAAGCAGATTATACCTAAGAATTAATCAAAAGGTCAAGTTTCTTACAGGATCAAGATTCCCGATAAAAAGATTTGCACCGACATCCACACTCTTCTTATCTTGTGATGCCTAAGAATGCACAGGCAAAAGAATACAAGAACTTCAAATATTAAAGAATTTAACATGAAGTTAAAAAATTTCTAGCCTTAAGCTAATAAGAATGTCAAAACAAAATATTAAGCTTGAATTTATACCTTATTAACTCGTATTGGTTTCCCATACAGTTTAATCATATTGAGAACCTTTATAGCCTGCAAAGGTATTGGGGGAGATCAAAACAAGCAGAATCAGAACTGAAGAACTTGCAATCACTTCAAAACACGGTTAGTAATACTGAAGAACCAGAAATAATTAGCCAACCCATATCAAAGGCAAAAAGAGAGCAATTAAGGAACCATAATGATGCTTGAAGATGCAGGTGAAAAATAGATGTAAGCACACAGAATATAAGTCTGCTACAGCCAAGTGAACAACTAATCCATTACTCACATAGTCAGCATCTTCTTCACTTCGGAATTCTACGAAGCCATAGCCTTGATGTGAATTTGTCACTCTATCCTTGGGCACATACACATTGACTGTAATAAACAAAAATTTTCTGAGCAACAAATGCAAAACCAAACGGCAATATATTGAAGATCTTGAAATTTTTGAAATGAAATTAAGTTGGAAAAACATAGGCTTTTGTACTGCGAGTTGCAGAAAAACAAGATTTGTTGCAGCAATAAGGATATATATGGGTGCAAGTGCATATATTGATAGGTAATAAGAAAACCAAAAACTAACCAACTGGCCCAGCTTGGACAAACAATTCCCATAATAATTCTTCTGAAACCTACAAAAGATGGAAAAAAGAAAAGAACAAGATGTAATTGAGTATTAGCTCCATCAACCTCTGTGTCTAAGCAACAATTGGGACAGCCAAGGGATACACAAAACACCAAGAAATGCCTTGTTAAATCCTCAGAAAATGAGAGACTTGTAATCCGGAATTGTTAAAAATAGACTATCTATTTTGGAAAATGCATCTGACAAGACAACCTCGAAAGCAAAAATTGACTGTCAATCAAACAGTTCAATATTCACACAACAAATGGGCAATGCAGAACACAAACATTTACCATACATCATGCTGGTTTATGACTCAAAATCCATCAAGAAACTTAGCATAATTTGAGCAAGTAGCACAACAAACATGTCTTCCGATTTCATTGGCATACCATTTGCAAGCTCCAAGCACAGTCATTATACGCAATACCAAATAATCTAATCCATCAAAAAAGTGGAGCATGCTTCTCATATGATTCCCTATATAACAAATTGCAGCAAGGAATACTGAACCCGTGTTCGTTCTCAAGGCAGTGTTTGGTGCTCCACAAAAATCGCGTGATTGGATTGGATAGAGAAGCAAACTTAGCCTGACGAGATATCTAGATTCTTGTAATGAACAAAAAGGCCAGAGATGAAGCAATTAGCACCCTCTGAACTCATTAAACTTGATCAGGACCACGACATATCATTAGCATACATCCATCAAATGACACAAGTGTGACGTTTCTGAACACCCACCAACTTGAAAGCTGAGAAATTTGTTTATCCACATTTTCAAAAAAAAAAAAAAAAAATCAACGAAGGCATTTGTCTTTGCCTTGCCAGCTAATTAACACAAAACCCTAACTTACAAAAGAACAATTAAACCCAGAGGACAGTTTAAAAACCTAAACGATGTTGCTAACAACTAATAAGAATCCTCTGAGAACTAAACAAAGACAGGAAAGCAAAGGACAGAAGAAAACGAAAAGAGGGATACGGGGTTCAGAGAAACCGAAATAAAGAAGTGAAGTTTGTGCTTAGAAGCTGAAGAGAATAGATGAGCCAGGGAGAGAGGTTTGGGGGGGGGGGGGGGAGGGGGAAGAGAGTACTTGAGGGTCAAGGTTGCCGACATAGGCAGTTGCGTCTTGGTTGCGCTCGGCGGAGTGTTGGCCGAGGAGGTTAGCTCCGACACCAGGAGCAATTCGAGTTGTCATCGCCTTTAACCTCTGTGCCGCCTCTGATACGCTCTAGCTTCGTTCAGTTTGATACTATTGTTGTGGTAAACTGGACAGTCCGTTTCCGTTGAATGATAACACCCTGCATTTGTATAACTAACCACCGCCTACAGGCTTCGACTCTTTTGATTGATACATAAAGTGTAGGAGGACTGCTTAACCAAAGGAAAAATGCCCAATTTCGTCCCTAAATTTTTTATTAGTGTTGATTTAGTCCTTGACTTTTATTTCTGACTAATTTGATATTTGAACTTATCTTGCAGTTCTAATTAAGTGCCTTCGCGGTGGCACCACTACCTCAAATTGATTTGACTCCTAATTGACTAATTAAACAGGAGTATTATCACGAGAATGTAATAAAACAAGTAAATGGTATAACAAAATCACCAAATAAAACTTTTAAATCGTGTAAAAAATCATTAGATAAAACTTTTTTAAAGTTTGATATTGTGATTTTTTACACAATTTACTTAATTTTTTATAACCTCGTAAGTGATGTTTCTAAAACACCCTTCTTTAATTGATCAATTAAAAGCCAAATTAGTTTTAGGTGGTGAAGCCGCCACATGAGTCATTAACTGGAAATGCAAAATAAGTTCACATATCAAATTGACTAGGAATAAAAGTTAGGGACTAAATCAACACTAATAAAAAAGTTCAGAGATGAAATTGTCTATTTTCCCTAACCCAAAATACTAAAGTACACTCTACACATACCTGTACATCAATATATACATATATTACTCAGGAAAAAAAAATAAATTAAGTTTAAAAAAAAATTTTTTTTTTTTGGTGCTTCCAGTGGGCCCTTACTTCTATTTATAGGCGCAAAATTCATTTTACCTCAGTCAGACTGTGTTGCTTATGTTGTGTCTCAATGTCTCAAAATGTTGAATAATTTTTATTTTATACATGTACATGATTTGTGTATATAATATCATGTTTCAATTCCATCGGCCTCTCGAGGCTATCCTCTTCAACAAGCGCCCGTTTCTGCTCTGATTCTTCAGTCGAGCATCTTCTTCTTCCTCTTTTTTTTCGGTTTTTCGTTTTCCTTTATTGTGGCAAAACAAAAGATGTGACGTAAAATTTTTTTTCCCAAATTAGGAGACATTTACTGGATAAGCTCTTTGCTAGTCATTAGCTATTCAGCAATTTCACAGATGTGGCTAGCTTGTCTAATGCCTACCAACAAGCCACCATTTTCCACGGTCCAAAGGTACTGCCATGTCCCTCATTTTTACCAACCAAACAAAAGCCCTAGTAGCTAAAAATACTTCCAACGCTTGAAGTTAGGCTCATCAGTGATCTTCACAAGGATAAAATAAGCAAGGACGTCATAACCTATCATCACCGGGGACACTCCAGATACATATAGGTACAGGTTCCAGACAACAGCTGATATCTTCAAAGGATGGTAAAATATGCTAATAAGAGTAATTTTGAAGCAAACAGAGAGCACAGACAAGCACGTCAAGACGTAACGGTGCGTGCCAAGCATCCTCAATCAGCATTTTTTTTGGATGAATAGAGGTGACCAAGGGAAATAGATAGCTGCAAGCGTTAAGATGAAGAGAAATTATCAGACACTAATCTCAAGTACTACAGCAGTACAGAGACTATAGATCCAGTTTATCGTTCATCTGTTGCTCAATGCAGCAGAATGCAATAGTATAGACAACACCATCAAGCGCACTTTAAAGTTTAACCTCGAAAATCCTTGAGATGAAATGCATATGAACTTCAAAAAATGCAGCAGATGCATTCAGCAACAAATTTTCATTTCGGTCTAGGTTACCACCTGATTGAGTATCTTTAGTAACTATATATTTAGTTAAACAAGACTACCAAAAATTAACCATGACTACTACATCAATTCAGTTCGGAAGTAGCAAGAAACCATTTAGGGGCCACGTTCCATATGGACATCTAGTTAGGCAGTCAGTAAGCACTTCAAAAACAGGGAAACAAATATCGAAAGACAACAAATTCGTGCCAATGAAGATAAACCAACTTAAGAAGTGAAGTAGCATTTAATTTGGACATCTATAAGAGGTCTATCAAAACTCCACAAGGGACTTTTCCTAGTCAGCTTTCAGAATCAAGTTTGCAATTAAGCAGCAAGACATGCTGACTTCCAGCTTCAGGACAACTGAAATTCAACCTCGCCACACACTTGGCAAGATGCAAGTGGAATTCTTTTTGAGCCTATGGGAACCAAATTTTCCAGAAACACTCTCCTCCTCCTTTTATGTCTCTTCCAAATCAACCTCATTAGCTTCGGCGCTAACCAAACCAAGTTCCTTCTGAAGCCTTTCCCATGCCTTCACAACATTAGGAGGGAACTTCTTCTTTACTGTCCTAATCATCCCTTTCGCTTCCTTGAACTTTGACCTCTTCACCAATCCTTCTAACAAATGCTTCAAGGTATTAAAGTCTGGAATCTTATGCACCGCCACACTCTCTTTGAACACCTTGTACCCAGTCTCAAACCTCTGCCTCTTACACAAATAGAATATCAACGTCCTAAAAGTTGCGGCATTTGGTTTGCACCCATTCCCCTCTAAATCCTCATAAACCTTGAAGGCCTCATCCATCATCCCACTCCTGCAATAACTAGTCATCAAATAATTATAACTAATAGTATCCGGCTTCAACCCTGCACTACTGATTTCCTCAATTAGCCCCTTCACACTATCAGGATCCTCTCCATGAATATGCATAATCCTTACGTTATATGCCCCGACGTCAATTGGACACCCTCTCTTCACCATCTCACTCCACACTCTCTCCGCCTCTTCATTCTTCCCTTTCTTATAGAACGAGTGCATAATGGTAGTAAAAGTAACAGCTGTAATCTCAATGCCCTTCTCCTCCATTTCCTTCAGCCTTTCCAGCGCTGATTCGGGCGATCCCATTTCACAATAAGCCTTGATCAGATTCCCATATGAAAACTTATCCGGCGAAAGCCCATATCTTTGAGGCACTTCATCGAACAGCTCAGGGGCTCGTCCAAAATTTTTGGACGAATTGCAAGCAGAAAGGAGAGCATTGAAGGAAACAGTTGACCTGGGGGTACCCAGATCATCCATTTCATTAAAAGTTTTGAGGGCATGATCAAACATACCAGCAAGACCATAGGATCGAATGAGGGAAGAAAGGAATGGTTCTTGAGTGATTTTGGGGTCATTTTTGTGAGATTCGAGGAAGTTTTCGATGTCAGAGAATCTGTGGGATTTGGCGAGGCGGCGGACGGTGTACTCTTGGGTGTAGCGAGAGGAGAGCGGAGAGGTATAGTTAGGGGAGACTGAAGAGTAGATTTCGAGGGCTTTGTCGGGGTCGTAGACGTATCTGAGTTGTGATTTGGCTCTGGAAGTGCTGATGGTAGACGGCTTTGTGGAGGTGGCAGTAGAAGCCCCTGCTGCTTCGACGGCTGCGGTGGCAGCGGCGGCGGCGGAAGTTGAAAGGTGGCGGCCGTGGTGGAGGGCGAGACGGGAAGACATCTTCTAGGGTTTTAGGTGTTTTGTTATGGATCTTTTGAGGATTCGTAACTAGTAATGATTTTGGGAAGGCATGGCTTCGTAAATAAAGGGAAAGTTTTAAGGAAAATTTAAGGAAAGTTTTAGGGTAATTGGGCGATGAAGGCAACAGAGGAGGCTAGCAGCATGGGTCAGTCCAGGAATTAAGCAAAAGAGTTGCTGGTTGTGCTGTGCATGAAGGTTTAATTCTATAGAAGGACATGAGTTTTGGACAGAGAAAACAATAATAACTTGCCGTTGCTTATCTGTATCATTATATTGTTTTATTAAAAAAAAAATTTTTTTTGTGCTTAATGGTGTAAAGCAATATGTGAGGGTCCTTCAAAAAAAAAAAAAAAAGCAATATGTGAGAGTTATTGCTTGGACTAATTTTACAACACTAGGGGAGATAAGTGCAATTTCTTAAACTTTAAGGGGGTTTTGAATGTAACGTCTTGTTCCTTTTCAAGCTATTCAGAACTCAATCCCAGGTTGCCTTTCCAATTAAACATTACGACTTTTCAATCGGCATCTCAACATAATTTTCCACTAGTCTCAATAACCAGCCAAATCCCAATTTAGATTAAGATAAGATGCATCTCGGATCAATATCTTGAAATCGTTATTTCAATCGTTCTATCCCAGCTATCTGTTCTATAACCAAAAACGTTTCTCCGCAGGCAACCTACCAATAAAGCGACCGACATTGGCCGTTTGGAAGAACCTAATCTTGTGTGATTTCAGTTACTGTCGCAGAAACCCATAATTAAAATTTAAACCTAACTCGACATTCCAAATCGAAGACTCAAGGTGACACTCAAGACTCAAAAGCGAAGTTCGATAATCATTCCAAAAATCCAAGTACAAATGCAACCCTAAAATCCAAGAGATAAATCTGAGTACTAAGCTTAAACCAAAATAATATATCTGTATCACTTCCTAATTTTGTACGAGTTATGGGATAGCACGCATCAAGCCTATAACGGTACTCAAGCATCTCTAAGGTAACTTCAAAACCAGTAGCGGCCACCGCTTAACCATCATAATCACCTTGAGAGAACCTATTCTCTGGATAAAACACAGCAACTACTTGATTCCCACCAAATCTTCTTCCATGCAATCCTTGACGAGCTTTGTTGGCACTCTCGACATCAGCATACTCCAAAAACACCTACCACAAAAAGGGAATGTTTCATTACGACTGAAAAGGGGGAAAAAAAGAGCCCAATTTCAAATTGACTCGATCTAACATGAATCCACAATTGTATGTAAGAGATGCATGCAGCTCCAACTAACCTTTCCAACACCTGGTGTTGGATCACCAGTGGGACTTGGCCGTGGGATAACCAGGTTCACCAAAGTACCTGCGAAAGTAAATTTAAAAAAGAAAATTAGTATCAAGTCTATAAACGAGAAAGGGGCAAACCAAAAATTCCAATGCAAGGGATAGAGAATAAAATCCCCTCTCAGCATATCAACGTTTCAGATAAGCAGAATGTAGTACTAGAAAAGGACTGCAAAACAGAGGTATAACACAAAAAGTATCTATACCCAAGAACAGCACCAACCCCCCTTCCCAAAAAAAATGATGTAGAAGAAAAAAGCAATTGAGCTTAAGGTTCAGGCACATACCAAATTTCCCACATTCCAATCTCATGTCTTCCAATATATCTGCATAGTCCTCATCATCTCTTAGCTCGTCTGCACTGACCACTTGTGTCAGGCATAAAACCTTTGTGGCCAGTGTCCCAGGTTGTAGCATGAGTTTCTGCAAGTGTGTGCCCGATGCACACTTGTAATCAGCCATAAGAAGTATAATCCCAATTGTGTTCCTCAAAAAGAAAGACTTTCAAGTCTTTCAACTATTAAGATGATTTTAAACAGTCACTCATGAATAAGAAAGCAAACAAAAAGTTTTACCTGTAAAGCTATCTGTTGCTGTGCATGCAATAAAACACTTTCTTGCTCAGGTTTAGGTTGTGTAACTCCCTGGTTTGCACGCCTAACAGTGAGGGTTTTATCACCCATCTTGATCCCATTAAGTGCTGCACAAGCAATATCAGTCACTGATAAATCCTGGTAAACACAAAATGCATAGCCCTTGGAATTTCCAGTCTCTCTGTCTTTCACCAGATCAAAACCACGAAGGGGCCCAAAAGACTCTAGCAGCTCTCTGATCTGCCCTTCCGTGAAATAATAGGGAAGACCACCCACGAAAATACGGTCAGGGCCCTCAAGCCCACCAGCAGAACCAGGGGTCAGTCCAACAGCAGCAAGGTTCAGGTTTGGATTGGGCTGGCTAGGACCAAGAGTAGCAGCTAATGAGGGATTGTAGTCACTGGGCCTTCTCACCTTAACCGGTGCTCCCTGGGAGGTTTATTCAAGTACAAACGAGTAAAGACTTGTAGAAATATATGCACAAATTGCAAGTAAAGTACTATCTGCTCAAAGATTTAGAATAATGGGAAACCAAATAGATAAAATGATGGAAAGGAAACTTTTGGAAAAGATTTAAAATGTTTACTTACCTCAAAAATAATGCCATCCAATGCCATGGCATTACTAGCCTCTTCAACTGACCTCATCTCCACAAAAGCAAATTTCTTCTCATGGTTAATATAAACATTTACAACAGCATCCCCTGAAAGTTAGACCAGGAATACTCTTAAATTCTGAAACTTACAAGCCATGAACTCTGATAAGAAAGGCAAGATACATAAACTAACCTGGACCAGCAGTGTTTCCTCCAATTGCCGACATCACATGACTGAAGAATGTCGCAACAGACTGAATAATTCAAAAGTAAACATTCAAAAAATGATCATCATCAGTAAGTGTAGAATATGTGACACATTCAACAGGTCAAATAAACTTCTGAAAACGAACTGTTCCAAATTAAGTCGAGGAATGGGAGTACTACCTGTTCATTAGCTGTTGGAGGAAGTCCACCAACATACACTCGTCGAGCATGTCTAGTGGCCTAATAAAAAAACATTCAGACAACATAGAAAAGCAGAGAACCAAGATAAAACTTGATAAGTAGAAAGCAAAGTAGGAGAGAGAAAAACCGGGGGTGGGGAAGGGGGGAAGGTTTCAAGAACATATACCAACCTGTTGAGTCATAGCCTGAACTGGCATAACAGGTAGAGCTCCAAGCTGCCAGGAGTACAAAAATAAAATCAAGGTAAAAAAAATGGTAAACTGCATTAAAAACATTACATATAGAAGGCAGATAAGTACCTGTCCAGTTGGCAATGAAAACATGTTGGGAAAGACTCCAGGAACAGCAGGAGCAGTACCAGTTACCTGACCTGTAAAGGCTAAAAGAATTACATCTCAGAAAATAAAACAGAAAGCCATCTTCCTAAGAATTTTAAGTTTGTATATCCAGCAAATGATCTTAACTATACTCCTAATTAAGTTAAATCAAATTCTTCTTCCTATAATTGAAATAATAACTAAAATGGATACAAATATTCATGTTCTGGGTAAAATATCTATGAAACTACCAAACATGCATATCCTGGTTGAAGATGAAGAAGACCTGATTGTTTCTTCCTTGTAATAAAAGCTACAGAAGTCGGCTCACGCCCAGTGTCAGCACAGTGGGGCTAGTAGCCCAATATTGCCTTCTTAGATATTAAGACCAAGACATACAAAACAAACAAACAAACACCAAACACAACAAAAAACCAAAAATCCTCTCAGTCTCAGAAAATTTTCACCAAGTATAAGCAATAAGAAAAATAAATACTGAACAGCGGAACTAGGGCCCAAGCATTATACCAATGCAGTTACAGATTAAAGAACAAGGGACGCTTACCAAAATGAAAGCATGAATTTTGTACGAACTTTTCCACACTATGGCAAAGACAGAGAAAAAAAAGTTATCAAAATTAAATAGAAAACTAACCCACAGAACATATACCTGGGAGAGAGGTAGCACCAGGCATCAAGGGATTAGTTGGAGGTGCCATGTCAAAGCCACTGATCCTTTTACTGTAAAGATGCTTCATTAATACCAAAGAAACAGAAAAAGAAACAGGACAAAGCGGTTAACATCAATCTATACACTAATCAGATTAACCCAAAAAAAAAATTACCCTTATAGACTTTGCTAAGTTCCCGTCAGGGATTAGCAGAAAAGAGGTTCATCAAACCATTGCACAAGCTAGTTTGGGAATTTTCCAGCACATACTCTATTACAGTTTCAGTCAAATTAGAAATAAATAAGCTACAAAAAGGGTTGTAATACAACCCAATTTGTGCCACAACATTCCTTTCCAACCCTGCAACTATTTAAAACCATGAGAATCAAATTATTGCACGTAAAGCAAAATGTATATGTAAAAGGATCAGCTAACTAAATGAACAGTTTCTGGGACACAAACATAACACCATCCTAAAAATTTCACTTCACAGCTTCAAAGTCCAACTACAACACTATTCTCTGACAGCAAAGAGCAAAAGGATAGCACCACACTTATAACAAATGTTATCTGTTCCTTGTGTCATTTACTCTCATTATCTCAGATCTTATATCTATAGAGTGATTAAATATGGTGATTTAGTTTCCACAACAAAAATCTTCATTACAGACCAACAGACATATTATAAAATTTATAGGCTCTCCATAAAAGGACATATTACAAACAAGAAGAAATCCCCTGGAACCTACCTTTTGGAGCGTGATCGAGACCGTGACCTTGATCGGTGTTCTGCCCTCCCCTCTCGAGATCTGGACCTATGCCTCTGCCTCTCTTCTCTATCTCTGTCATAATCTCTTCGTCTTGAACAAACAAATGATGAGTGAGTTTAAAGAACTTCCTCAGTTTAAAAAGTTAGCAAACAAGTATATTCAAGACAGAATTGTACAGAATTAAGATCTACATATAATAATTTCAACAGCAAATGACTTTTCTCACCTATCATACTCCCGACTCCGATGGTAATCACCATCATCATCTCTGTCTCGAGTCCTCTCCTCCCTCTCTCTTCTCTCACTTCGATCCCGGTGGCGATCTCGGTCCCGATGGTGACGATCCCGATCCTTATCCCTATCACGTTCCCTGTCCCTATCCCTGTCCCTGTCCTTATCTCTGCTTCGTTCACCTTCACGGTCCCTGTCCCTATCCCTGTCTCTCCCCCTCTCCCTCTCCCTATCCCTGTCCCTGCTTCTAGAAGACCCTCTTTCTCTATTATCACCATCACGAGAATGCTGCTAGAGATATAAGAAATGCATCAGCACATTAGCAAAACAAAAGGCAGTAAAGCCATTAAATGAGGTGAACAGAGGAAATACTTATTTCCAGATAGAGAAAAATGTTGCCAATTAAATAACCCGCACCATCGAGTAAACCTCTCAATACAATTGTCTATGATGAATTTTTTTTTAATAATTCCTCAACTGAAACATCAAAAACGTAAAACCCCCAGTTAATTTGAGTAATAAGTATATAATACAACATGCATTCAAAAAGACATCAGCAAACCCATATTTCTGCAAAAAATTGGATTAATCACAACAAAAACGATTCTCAGGGCAGCCAATTGCTGAATTAAATACATAACTAGTCGCAATTTCAAGTGAACAACTGCAATTAAAAAACATATAATAAAAACAATTACGATAAACACAAGCAGTTCGCTCGATTCTATGCCTTCGTATATACAAATCAGAAACAAAAAGAAAAAGATCAATTTGCATAAGAATTCGAAAGTACTTGAGATCTGGAGTCGCTAAAATCATCGGCACCTCCGTGACTGTTAATACGGGGTTGAGGAGAAGAGCCACCGTAGTTCTCTAGATCATCTCCACCGTTGCCTTCGTAATCCGGCATCTTATCTGTTAGTTCTCCAGTAAAAGAATAGCACTTGAATATTTGTTCTCTCCCTTCTCGGCTGCCTTTTCTCTATTTTGGGAACACTTGAGATGGGTTCGCTCCTAGGGCTTGCAAGCATTTATATAGTCCAGCCAATTTATATATACACACACATATATCCAGCCTATATATATATATATATATATATCCAACTGTAGACCTGAAAAAGACTTGGGAGCCTAATACATATGTATACTCATATACATATACATATAAATATATATATATACACATATTTTTTGACAAAATCTGTACACACATCTTATTTTATACTCAATAAAAAAAACCCTTATTTTGTAAGTAAAAGATATCAAAAGGAAAAGGTTTAGAGTTTATATTGGCATACATATAACACGCGAGCCGGTTTATTGGGGAAAATTTTTTTTTGAGTTCAACTCGAGTTTGAATTGGATTTGGACTTCATGATTATAATTTAGAAATGTATTTTTCATAATTTCAAAATGTTTGTAGATTATATTCATAGAATCACCGACAATGATATACTGTTGATGGGAATTGTAGCATTGAATCCAATATATAACATTAATTTTTTCTTGCTCTGAAAAAAAAAAAAAAACACTTTTTGACAAACCAAATGCTTCCAACTGAATTCTAACAAATTGACTGAAACTGGCCAGAATTAGGAACTTGTAAGAACTAAATAGAAGATTTTGAGGGAAAACTACAAATTTATCACGTAGCATCTATTTGAATAAACAGTAAACAGCAAAACATAATTGAATCCCTGAAGCTCAAACTTGCGTTCTATTTTCCTTGCTTCAGTTGACAGATATTTTTTTTTCTTTTCAATTGACTGGATTAGTATGAGAAGAATTATTTACCTTCAAATAGGAGAACTTTTTAGCTGTAATTGCAATGACATTTCCTGCTAAAAGTCCGTATAACCACAAGGGCTATATCAATCTAGTCTAGATGTAAACGGTTGAGGGGCAAATTAAGAGATTTGGTGGAGTATTACTATTCTTGAAAACAATTTTTTTTTTTTTATATCCTTTAAGAATGTAAATGAGTCTAAACAAGGCAAACATCCTTGCTTTCAAATATATTTGATTATTTTAGCAAATTTTAAATTATGTTCAACTTTGGATTGTTTACTTTTTAAATCAAGTTCAAACGAGATTTTATCAAGTTAAACTTGTATCAAACCGAGTTTAAACTGAATTTGAAAATTTGAATGTTTTACATGTAAGTCGAACTTGAAAATTTATCAAATATAATATGCTATTCCAAGTTGATTTAGTTAATTAGCCAATCAAATTCAAATAAACCTTTATTGAACCAAACTCAATTTACGTACCAAGGAACTCGATTGTTTTTCAACTCGAGCAGCTTGATTTTTCTTTCGGCCCTAATTACCACTTACATTGTGCTCCAATCTAAGATTAGATTAAAATAAGGTTAGATCACAATGTCAAGATTTATTATTGGTGCAAAAATCATTTTTGTCTTGGACTCGTGACAGAGATTTACAATGAATCTCAATCCTGGTGAAATAAAAGCCCGAGACGTGGCCTTGGAGGCTCGAACGTCATATGCAGGGATCTACAACGCTAATTGCAGCGCAGTTAAGAGTTCCAGATTCTTATGACCGCGGCACAAAAGTTGTACAATAGGAGCAGCATTTAAAGACGATCACTTTTACCAATATATATATATATATATATGTAAGGACGATCATGCAGTGGCACAACAAAGAGGAGTTCATGCCAGTAACGCCACAAAGGCTTTCGAAGAAGTTAAAAATATGTTTTTACAGAAAAAAAAAAAAATTGATCCTCGATGTACATGGTACAGACAAATGTGTTCCACAACGAAGTAATGCAACCTCACAGGCAACGCAATCGGTTCCCGGTCTTTGTTTGCTCTCTGTGGAACATTATACCTCTTTTCTATAGGATACACTTAACTACTTCTGTAATCATTTGTTGCATAATGTATGTTTCATTTGAAAAATCTACTAAATCTAAATTCTGGTGGGAATCAAGTATCTACAGTGGACTGACCACAATGTCCCCATTAACCCACCTGAGTCAGCTTATAAGTTTCCAGAAAACGAACCAATTACCAGGGATAGTGTTCCTGCACAAAAAAGCCCGCACAAACTGTTGACATTAACAATCATGTAAAGAGCTTGAACATCATCACTGAAATAAGCAAATAGGCACTGAAATAAGCTGATTGTTTACAAATTTTTTCAATAATAAGATCCAGATTTAAGAACTAAGTAAACTGTCAAGTGTCATCACCTCAAGTGTAACGTAATTTGCACAAATTATGCCTACCAAACAAGAAGTGCGATAATCACCTCATCCGTTGACCTAAGCAGATACCCTTTCTGAGCAACCTATCAAACAGAATCACCCTCAGATGACATTTTTGAGCAATCTATCACACTGAATCAACCTCGAGTACCTGAAAAGGGAAGCCATTTGAGTTCGTTTGGATTGAATTATTTAGAAAACACGTTTTCAAACTACCATTTTATCTTGCATACATTGTACCAAAAAGGTACAATTTTCAAACTACGTGTTTCTTATTATTCACAAAACACGTTTTCAAACTACCATTTTATCTTGCATCCATTGTACCAAAAAGGTGCTACAGTAAATAACGCCAAAATTTTTTTCTAAAGCTACATCATGAACGGTCAGTTTCATGTCTAGAGAGAAAATTGAAAAATGGAAATCATATTTCCAGCGTGCATGGGATGAGCAGTGCCACACAACCACCTCATTCAGCAGCTAAAGAAGTAGCCCCTATAGTATCATTTACTGCAATGACAACCACTTCATGGGAATTATAATTTAACCAATTAGTTTTTGTATGGTACAACAACACAGAAAAAACTCCACCCCTACCATCAGATGTAACTTCCAAAAACTCAGAAAGTACTCCCACCAACAAAAGTGTTCTTAGGTTCCATGCAGCTATATCGTCAAAAGTGATTCTCCATTGACATCATCGGTGGAAGTATAACAAGATTCATAGAAGCAACAAAGGTTCCAGGCATTTTTACAAATCAATCTATCAGACAAGTAATTCTCTAGGTGTGTCACCATTTCATAACATGTGCTCAGACAAACCAATGTGCAGCAGTTATCATAAATTTTTTCCACAATCAATCATATGACTTCTGGTGTTAATTAACTTTAGTACCTTAAACATTCTGAATGGGGGAAGCATCATTTCGGGTTTCCATCACCACTTTTCAAGACCCAAGCCGAACCTTGAGATACACATAGTTCCTGTACAACCTGAAAACAATAGGGTAAAAGATTAGCTAAACTGCAGATTCGACAAAAGCGTAAGGTAAAATCTGTTCAAGAGTGACCCATGAGACTGTCAATGCTCCACTACAACAAGCAAGGACAGACTTGCAAGATGACCAGACTGTGCACCTCAATTTATTAATAGTATTTCAAATGCATAGCTTTCTTGTTTTGCTCTATCAGTTCCAGAGTTTCAGACAGCACCTACACTCCCATATTCAGTAGAGTTCCTACCTACTTCAAAGTATAATCTACTTATTACATCATCACTTAAGCCAATAAAGAGAGCAAAGCACTACTACTCAATTTTAAGATATGTCACATGCTACTTATTCTTCATTATGCAGCTCCCACTTTGTCATTTGAAAAAGCATCTATCTCATGCAAAAACTGAAGTTGGTTTATGGACGTGACCATTAGCATCTAATAATTTTGCTCTGGGCAAACCAAAAGGATAGCAAACAGACAAATAAAGCACTCAAGCTCTGACGCTTGACCTTTTGATATTCCAGGCTGTTAATATCCCTTTTAAGCTGCAATTTAGCAGCTTCTATCATTGAGGCCTTCTTAAGCTTTGCGTTTGGTCCTTCAGCAATGAAAAGATCAATGACAACTTTCCTGCAAATGAAAACTAATCTTGACTATGCACTGAGTAAATAATAAAAATAGGAAAAGTGTAGGGGCTGGAGATCTAGCAATAACCTGAATTCATCATGTTCGGGGTGAACTGGGGATGATTTCAAAACATAAACACCATGAATGTTAATTGCGACTTGACTAATGATTGCCTGAAGCTCCTCTGGAGGAGCTTCAACACCATGTGCTGCAGCTATTGCTTCTCTAGCAAATCCCTTTGGACGGGAAGACTCAGAAACTGCCATTTCCCTTAGACGCTGGCAAATTTGTTGGAAGCTGTCAATGTCAATACATATTTCTTAAGTTGCTAGCAGGGAAGAAAAATAAAAACCATCCAATTAAACAGTTAATGTCTTGATTAGTGGCTGAGTTGCAGATAGGAGACTTCATGAAAAAGGGACTAACAATAAACTTGCTCATCCATGCAACACACATACTTCTGTCGAGAAACTAGATCTCATTTCTATAGCTATCACAAATACATGGTAGATGGTTCTACATCCCACAGACTGGGACTAAACTAGCAAATCAATTGTTACTTGGGTCAAAACCAGCTACAACACATTTACTGTGTGCATCCCTGAACTCTGTGTTGATACAGTTAACAAATGTAAGAGGTGTGTGTGCTTCTTAGAAAGTTATTCGAAGCACTTAGGATGATAGGTCCCTGGCCCTTGGATGAACCCTGCCTTCTAGTACTTTTGAGCAAAAATTATTGCCTGAAGATATTTTTAATGTAATGCTGTTGTGTAAACAGTTGTTAGTTTTGTAGGTTGGTTTTTGTCACACCACTGCTTTAGCAGTTTGTAGTACTGATGCTTGCCCTTGTTTTGTGTAGATACTCCCTTCTACCATTTTTCGTTAAATAAGAAAAGAAGAAGAAGTGGTTGGCATGAACCGTACATAATAACCTGAAGTTAAGAATGCTAACAATACTAGCAATATCTAACCAAAGGCAGGAAAAAAAAATCACCTGCAAACCTTGTGACTTTGAAAAAGTTTCTGAAGGGCCTTTGGTAAAGCCTCGCGAGTTTCTTCTGACATTGGTCTCCTTGGCACTCCTGCATTTAAAGAATTTGATGCATGCTTACTTAAACTCTTTGATGTTGCAGGGTTATTTGTGGTGAGAGGCCTTGAAGAGTTTTTAGTAGCAGGCCTGTTTTTATCTACAAAGATCTTTTCAGTTATCAGTTTCTCCAAGCGTTCCCAAGTTTGTTCCTGTTCTCTGACAATCTTAGGGTTAAGTTTTATGAATGTCATGTCAGGAGGCTCTTTGAACTTCCAATCATTAAGAGAAGCTCTCTCAAAAGCTACTGTGTTAAGTACATCTCTCATAGCTCTATTGAGTTTCTGTTGTTGTGGTAGTTGTGAATTGTTAATAATAGGAGTCCTGCTAAACAGAAGAAGAACATAATCCCTCGCTAAAGCATCAATTCCTTGATCTTTTCCATACAGCAGTGAACTTTTGGGAATCCACAAGCCTTGAACTAATTGAGCGTGTTGGCTGAGGACTGCCAAGATATCCTCGACAGATGCATCAGGTGCCAAATGCTTTAAAGCATCAAAACGATGGATTGGAGGCCCCTATAGAAATAATAATAATAATAACTACCTAACTGATTAAACGGGGAATAAACAAATTAAGGTATACCAACAAAGTAATTTTAAAAAATGTCAATAAAGGAAAAAAAGGAGGATAATTGAGAAGCATTACAACAAAAAATCTCTTAATTGTCTTTAACAATCTGTCTAAAACAGAGATGGGTAGCTAACTTCTAACAATTCAGTAATGTCAGACAAAAGTTTTGGATTAGAAAGGCCCTTGTGTACATCAAGACACTAGATCTATTTGTCATATTAAGTTTGAAATTGAAGAAGAGAAAGTTGATGAACAGAAGTGCAGAGGCCCAGGACCATCACATTTGTGAAGGTTTTTCTCCACATTACTTCAAATAAAGTTATAAAGCTGAATTACAAGTACAAGGTCATCAACTCTAACTTCCCATGATGACTAAAAACCAAGTAGGCAGAAGCTGGGAATTGTGAACAGAAACTGCAACAGATAAAAGAATTAATGCTGTGGTGATACAACCCTCAAAAAACTTTATACCCATGTCCAATCTGCTAAAAATTAAAACTCCAAACATGTTGAATTTTGATCTGCAATGAGCTGACCAGCAGTCAAGTAGGAAATCGGAGCATCTATTGCCAGCAAGGTTAATCAGATGGTACAGAAATAGCATTCCATCGTTCTAAGTGATAAGTCCTATGAATTTTTCAGTATACCATGCTACTGCTTTGGGTTTACAAGCACCTCTCCAATGATCCTAGCAAAAAGTGCTTGCTATGCAATCCCATTACAAGCTAATGACTTCTGTAATAACTGACCCAGGGCTATCTGGACTTTTGATACTTCAATATGGCATATCTAGCAATTTGTATACTGTCAGATGGAACTCATTGGCAATAAAATAGTATCATATTTCGACATTGCAAAGTTTCACAATTTTAAGAAATCCTCGACCAGTAAATGAAATGCCAAGAGAGTATTTGTGGTCACATTTGCCAACGGATGAAATTCTTTGGTATCACCAATTTTTTGGGTCTGCCATGCATACTCCAGGTAGTGTTTCTGCTACAGGATTATATGTCCAAACAAAGAGCAGAATGTGTAAGTTGAACATTGAAAATTTACAAAAGATATACACAACCAAACAAGAAACAGCATTACTGAAAAACTAATTAAATTCATAAAATTAAAAGCAGATCAACTACAGTCATCACTCAGATTCCAATAAAAATCTATAGTTCATTCATTCAATGAATTTCACGAGTCCAAATAAGCAGAATGTACCTGAAGAAGCCAAGTTCTAAATCGTTCTTCAAGTGGCAATGAGAGCAAAACCCTGGAGTCTCAACAATTCAGAAAGAGAGACAATCTCAAAAGCACGAATAGAAATTAGCACCAAAAGAAAATGCAGGAATAGAAATAAATATAAGTTCCATAAGAAACTGAGCATTTGGAGAGTCCCTATCACCAAATGTCAGTCATTGCTGGCTCTTGAGACGGGATGTAAAGGCAGGAACAGGAAAAAATCAGACAATGAGATCACTTGAGTGAAGCAATGAAACACGATTCTACCACCACAGCAAAAAGCCAACAAATATTGTACCAAAGCAACATCAAAATTGTATTCCTACAGACGACAGTGGATGACCTGATATCAACGTATCTAAAGAAAGCTAAAGGACCATATGAGGTACAACTCTAACCAGCCAAAGCCAAATGAGCATGTAAATTACTCATCCACTAAACAGACATTTTCTTATCCACTGTTAGAAATCAACAAGTCATCCCGTATGATAGAGAATTTAACCCCAATGAGTTTGTATGTAAAAAATTCGAAATTAAGAAAGAAAAAATTTGACATTGTAACATAAAAATCAGTGCTTATGTCACCTATCACTCAATTAATGTGTTAAATACCTTCTCGAAGGCCCATTGGATCCATTATTCTCATTTGATGTGCCAGGACACAAGGTGTTCACATAGTCATGCCTTCAAAATTGAAAACAAAAAACAAATGGGGTTAAAGCGAAAAGCTTCAGAAGCTAAACTCTTTAAACTGTCTTCTACTCAAGCTGCATCACATTTTTGCTCAGCAGATTCCAGGTGGGTTCTAACTCATTACTAACAGGATACAAAATACAGTAATGAATCATACCTGTTCATTGAAAATTGTATATGAGAAGAATCATGTTCAACCATTTTTCTCACATAACTCATCGAAATATCACTCCTTGCTCCATGGTAGTTGAGAGGTATCCAATCCTGAGAAAGAGGAGAAGAACAAAGAGACTGATAAGTTGTAAAAGGCGCATCTATCATTTAATAAGCAAAAAGTAAATAAATAAATAAATCACTCAATCCATAAAGATATGCTGTTCACACTCGTGATTGTGAATCCACTTTACCAATTTTTCCATACAATAAAAAGCACAAAACAAAATGCTGTAGCTTTGAATTTTTAACAAAATACTGTAGTTATCTAATCTCTATTTCAAGGACCGTAGTCATAATAAAAATGACAAACCTATGCGAGGAAAATGAATGAATTTTTTCTTGAAGAACAATTTAAAGACAATTGCATGAATGAATTTTTAAAATGAACGATAGTTGCTGAGATTAATATGAATGAATTTTTTCTTGATGAACAATTTAAAGACCAAATGGAAGGATACCTCTCTAGTATCTTTGTTCTGCTCAATCACAGGCCCAGATGACTTACCCTGCAGATGAAGTAATCCAAGTTTATAAGATCTGATCAGATAATGGACACTCAGAAATGCTTTATTTAGCTTGACTCAATCCAGAAATGATACATAAAACTTAGCCCTACAAAAGTGCCTGCAATAGCACTGTCTAGATGCCTAGCAAAGACCCCAACACCATACATCTCGCTTTGAAGTCTAGAATTAACCAAGGGGATTAAATCCTGAGAGAGATTAAGCTTGGATAAATCAAATATTCCAGTTGTATCCTCATCATCATTAAAAGTGAGCATGTTTTACATCTTCCATTTCATCAGATCATTGGACCTCATAAAAATTATGACTAAAAGGTATAGTAGCTTCACTGGCAAAACGAGAAAAGAGGGGCAGAATGCAGAACCTGCTTCTTCAATGACCCAGTAGTTACTTCTTCCCCCTTTGTGTTATCTTCAAGGTTACTGCTTGCAGTAGTTCGCCGTTTAGAACTCTCAGGCTTATAATGCTGCATTGAAGGTCGGAGCTGTACAACTGCATGAATAGGATTCAGGTGTAACTGCATGACAAAAAAGCAATCATAGAACTTTACAATATAGAAATGCGAAACAAGTCACACGTACAAGAAAAATCTTCTAATTGAGTATTGTTATAACTAATTTCATTTAGCAAAAGTCAAACAAGAATTAAAACGGGCAAAGGTCAACCAACAACCATTCATTTCTAATAATTTCACCGTATTCTAGAGGGGAGCGCCCAAAATCAGCAGAAAATAAGTAACTATCTATAAAGACTTGTGGGTATATCAGTGATAGTTCTGCCAGAAGTTTTCTCAACTGTCAGTTGCCGTCTGTGCTTATGAGTGTGGATATGATGAATACGCAATCTTTATCCTTCTCTTTCTCTTGGACAAGTGCAAATAGATTCACAGAAAGGTGGATGTTTTATGCAGTGACTAGTCATTTAATTGATTCGTCTCTTGGAAAACTGCGGTAGATAGACAGTCTGCCTCTCAGTGAATACATTGTTTCAATGCTCCTGCTAAAGTTGGTAAGGACATTTATGTCCAGAAATGTCAAAAATTTTCTTGTTGAATTTGATTTCTCTTAATTTGCAATGCAATTCAACTTTGTAGAGTCCTGCTATCATACTGCTACAGTGAGATAACCATGAGTATTACCTACAATTTTAAGTTTCAATTGCTTATAATGTTAGACGAGAAGAAGGTCAAGGCAAGAAACAACCAGAAATAACAGAACCAAACAGAAAGCATAGAGTCCAATAAGTCCAAATAGAAAAACACAAAATACATGTAAAATGAGAATCAACGAGATAAAAGAGCATACCTTGTTTCCAACAAGAACTCCAACAGCATATCCAGCTGTGACAGGTGGCTTCCATGATGAGGTAAGAGTCTGGAAAGGACCACAGGCAAACATATTATGGATTATACTGGTAATATACTTAAATCAAACGAGATTCAACAGAAATCACACAGAAAAACAAATCCCAGCCATACTAATAGCATAAAGATATGAAACAAAAACTCTTTGAAGACAAAGAAAATCATCCAATCACAAAATATAAAACTCTATCAAACTATGGGCAATCTAGGACCCCCAAAAAAAAACAAAAGGTATAGGAGTTTAGCTATGATGTAGCTAGTAGTTCACGGAAACTTCAAACGGCTACAAGGAACTTTAATACTTCAAGAATCCTATCAGCTTTATTTAATCAGAAAAAACACAGGATCATGTGGAAGCCCATTGAGACTACAGATTTTGCAATCAGGCGCATATGCTGGGAAGTACATCACTTATAAAGATACTTCTTATGGACTTGGAGAGGCCTTATCAGGTCCCTCATCCAATAAACTCTATAAGCTATGTCACTGTGCTGTTGCAAGGTTTCATTTAGTAGTAGTTCAAAAGCAATTGCTACATCAAAAGACTTGATTTCTGTCAAAATTTGCCACACTTGTATAATTTGGACAGAACACATGAATAATGAAATTAGAAAACAGGCTACCTGCTTAGTCATTGAAACTCTAGGATCAGCATCAGAGTCATAATTCTTGGAATCAACATCAACTGCCAAATCAACTTCTACTTCAGCACTTTTAGACTTCACTCGCACCTGCAAATCAATCCCAAACCCCTCCTTTAGTACTCAACCTAAGAATGGGATCAAATTCCTTCCTATACAGCAGTTCATTCCACTCTTTGATTCAATTTTTCTAAAAGAATGTCAACACATGAAACTTAACCCAGCCTATCATTCTAAGTTAGGTAAGAAAGGGAAAAACACGCACCTCTTCGCATCTATCATCTAATTCATATGGCCGCCACAATGGCCTCAGAGGATATTGCAACACGTATAGCTGAAATATTAAATAGAAACTAATGTAAACAAAGAAAAAAATCACTAGAACATTTTGTACAGATTAATTAAAGCAGAAACACTAACCTTGGTATTAGGATCAATAGAAGGTGTCAGATAAACATCAATTTCTCTCACAATTTCATCTTCTCCTTCTTCTCTCGACTCCATCGGTTCATCTTTCGGTTGCTCTGCTTCTTCTTCCACCTTCGCATCGACATCCATTGCCACGGATTGGGAAACGGAAGCGGATGCTGCATCTTCAGCTTTTCCAGCGGCAGCGGTGGTGGAGGAATTAATCGGTGATACTGGTTTGGAATCTAATTCCTCCTTTTTAGCAATGGAGTTCGAGGTTGCTGCAACTGGCTCTGTTCTAGGTTTGAATTTGGAGCCCTTGGGTGCGAAACGAGAGGGCCGGGTTGGAGCCTGGCTCGGCTCGTCCAGGTCGTCAAAGTCCATGTCCGCCGCTACTGATGGTATTGGCCTAAAGCTGTGAAGAAAAATGCATGCGGAGCAAAGCTGGGGAAGAAGAGATTTTTGAAGGAAGCTCGAATGTAAGAACAGTTCCACGAAAATTTTGCCGCCGTTGTTCTACTCGGGAAGGGTTTAGTCCAGGGTTTAATTACTCAATTGCCCCCTCCTTTTTGAAGGGTGAGATTTGGAGAGCAAAGAAGGAAAAAGAAGAAGAAGAAGAAGGGATTTCTCTTGTTTGGAAGTTTTAAGTGGGAATAAAAAGAGAGGAAATGGAGGGATAGGTTGAAAGAAATGGAAAGAAAGTTGTGAATAAAATGTTCAATAATAAAATGATAATATCTAATGAATCTACAATTATTTTCTTCTTTTTTAATCTGTCTATCAATTTGAAAAGAAATATTTTTTCTCTTCTTTTCTTTTCTTTCATAATTTTTTTTTTTTTGTCGACTCAGGCTGGTGATGGTTTTTGTTTTCAAAATTTGTTTCTTGAAAATTGAAATAAAAAATATTAAGCATATTTGAGAAAATTTTGTGATTATTCTTTTTTCTAAATAAATTCATTTTTTTCGTTTGACTCCTACTTTTAAGACGATAGCTTAGAGGAAGACAATTTTTTTTTTTTTTTAACTTCTTTCATCTTAGCTTTCCATATCGCATGTAAAGATAGGAGTGCTAATTTGTGGTACTATACAATTAATTAACTCTGTTTTGATGTGTTATTTTTTTAAAATTTGAATTACTTTGAATTATGTAATAGTAAATTTTTTAATTTATATATAGTAATTGCGAGATCTACAAAACAAATTGCTTACAAATTACAACTGCAATGTATGCGCAAGGACACGTCATTTTTTGGGGTAATGGGCAATTATTTACTTGTTTTTAATCTCTTTTTTTTTTTTGAAAAATAATTTTGAATTTTCTAACTCATTCCTTTTCCTGAAAATGAGCCCAAAAAATGAAAAGAGAGTAATTGGCAAAATGACAAAAAGGGAAAAAATTGCATCGAACAATAAAAAGAACAAAAATAAAAGATCAATTTCACATACGTGTTTTATAGTTAAGTGATTTTAAGACATATCTCTTATGGTTTGAAATGTCCACTTATACCCATTATACTTTGAATTTAAGTTTTACACACACTAATTTGCTTGCATTATCAATATATTTTTCAATCATCTTTTTATCTCACATACATCATATAAAAAAAAATGTTACAGTACTTTTTCATAAAATTATCTCAAATAATTTACAATCCAAACACATATTAGTGAAAAATTTAACCATGCATAATCCAATGTTGCAAATGATTACTTGTTTCTAGTAATATTAGACCTTAGTAATTTTTTTTCAAAGTTCCTAAATGAACATTTACCTCTATAAAAAGGATCAAACATTTGCACCCTCAATAATGATATCTAGATTCGAAACTTTTTATAGATTGCAAACGTTGATTTGGAGATATTTGTGGAAGAAAAACTCACTCTAAAAAGCCTAACTTAAAAAACTCACGAAGGGTGTCCGAGGAATTTGACCAAAAATAAATTCATTCTAAAAAGCCTAAAGTCCTTGAGAGAGAGAGAGAGAAGTAAACTGAAAAAAAAAAAAAAAAAAAAACTTAACCTTTGTAGCCATCTGATCCGAGCTCGACTCCTTAAAATGGCGGCTAATGTTAACGATTGTCTGAACTCATCTTTCGGATGTGCAGCTGGGAAAAATTTCCTAGAGCAAGGTAACACAAATTCGCCGCTGAATTTTCTCATCCTTCAATTTGATTCACTCGATTCTGATATCATTCAATTAGTTGAAAATTTTTCAACTGATTCTCTGATATCATTCTCATAAGCGTCTCACAAAATTAAAGAATGAATTGGTTTCAACGTAAAATTTATTTATATAATGTCACTTTCGGACTCTACATGCTCGACTGGTGGGAACGTTGCCTCTTCAGTATCCTTTTGGCTGATTCATTTCCTCATAAGCTTTAATGATTAGATTTCTGTAAATTTTAAATGCAATCCTCTATGCTGTAATTTGGATCTTTATTGGAGTTGATTGATGTGGGATACTTAACAGTTTGATAGATATCTTGGTGGTCGTTTTGATGTGGTTTGTTTTCTACAATGGCTTCCGATATTTTGCCGAGTTTTGTAGAAGGTACTAATATTTTAGTATTGCCTGTTTTTGCAAGATCACATTTTAATTGCTAATTTCGATAAAAAGTTGGGCGGATGATTTGGCTTTGTTTTCTTTTGTGATCGGCTTTTTCTGGTTACGTGTTTTCTTTCCTTTTTAATTTTCATGTAAACTGAAATCTTTGCTCCTTAAAAATCGTGTACAAGGCAATTGTGATTCCTTGCTGGGATCTTGAAATAACCAATTCTCCATCAATCCTGCATTTGCTAGTCATGGTATATATTGGGCATGTTATATACTGCTGCTGAAGTTCTCTTAGTACCTCTATTTCTTTTGCTGTTTTTCCGACGAGTGGTTAAAATATGAACTCCTCATATCTTGAATGCCCTTCTCATTGTTGTTGGTTGCTCCAAATTGCTGAACTTCAGCCATACCTCCCGTCCTTGTGTTAAAAGGATGCTTGCTGTATGCTGTTTCCTTGCAAGTACCTGCCTCCTTTTGTTGATAAAAATTATGTCTTTTTGCATTGAAAAAACAAAAAGTTTGTGATGTGGCTAGCTTGGCATTTGCTTAGATGTGGCATGATATTTGTTAGGAGCAACTTCAACGGTTATGAATGAAGTGAGATAAGTTGTAGGTTTTTGTCTTGTTCATGTATGGAAGTACTTAATACTAGGTTTCCACATCTACAGCTATATTTGCAGTCATATGTGATAGAACAGCTAAAAGTCACTGGAAGAAATAAATGAAATGGTAAAGAAATTATTTTTTTTTAAAATTGTTCATATACTCCACTTGATTGGGCAATTCAGTAGAATAGGAGGCCTAGCAATCCTTCTCATTGTAACTTTCTTTTGACATATTGAAAGTTGAACTCCCCGACCTCAGAAGCAAGTGAAATAGTTCTTTTGTCTCGTACGACTATGTTTAGAACAACTTATGAGAACACTTGAGCTATGTTAGATCTTTTGTGGTGGTCTACTTTTTACCATACTGGAAGTGGCAAACAGGGAACTCAGAAGCAGGTGACAAAGTTTATTAAGGCTTATATGGTTATAGTCAGGACAAAGTATGAGAATACTCAAGCTAAGTTTGGTCTTTTGTGGTTGTATATTGTATACATGGAAAACATTAAAATGCTTAGTTGCTTAGATAATTCCATGAAGGTAATGCATGAGGTTTCCAATTAAATGTTGGTGAAGAAAAGGTACAGAGAGGTTAAATGGGCATAAACTCTTCTTCATGGGTAAAATGCTGGACAGTTCTGAGTGATGCAGACTGCAAAGGACAAGTCAGAAAATTTGGCTGGTTTATATTGATTCACAACATCATGGTAGCGAAATATGCTTATATATGACTTCAATTAAGGAAAGATGTATATTCTAAAACACCCGGATATAGTTCCACTGTGTTGGCTTACCAACCTTTTTACCGGCTGCTACTCCCTTCCATTTGATACAGATGAAAATTTCTTAAACCTATTGAATCCCTCTTTCATTTCCTGGATCAGTGCTGGTTCATACTCTGATATGCCTGTAAAATAAATTTAGGCAAAGTAGATCCAGATTCAATAGCACAATTATCCTGCTGGCAATTGTACGAATTTAGTTTGCACAGTGTAGGCAGTTATGATACTCGTCTTTATTCTCTTGTTTTTACCTCCTACATCCATGCTAAAAATTTATTTAAATCAAATTTCAACAGTTCTCTGTCGAAATTGCTTCTGTATTGCTAATCATACTGCGATTTCTTGTTTCTGCTTATGTTAGCAAGATTCGTTTTTAATTCTTAGCGGATGCATATTATTGGCCTCGTTAAGAAAACTGGAGTCAATTACAAGAAGTTAAAGACAGGGAAGGGTTTTGGTTGTTGTGAATGACTCCAATTTTTCTCATGACTAATGAAATAATGTGTTGTAGCTTATGACTAAGATTGTATCCATTTTGTTTTTGCAGGGAACTGTTGTGCAACACAGGAATTGCAAGAACTTTTAGCACCAGCTGTAACTTTAAATGAGTATGTCTTAAAGTGCGTGAAGTTGCGTTTTATGTTTTCTTCACCGCAGCCTAAATTGCCAATTTGCCATTGTATGTTTCAGTTACAGCTTAAACATAATTGCTTCTTTTGATGTTGAAACTCATACGATATTTTCCTTAATATTTCGTATTTGGAACGAAAATTTTCTGCGAGTGAGTTTGATTGTGCAAGTGCTGGTTGATCTTCATATTGAGCTGGAAATGGTAAGCAATAACACAAACCAAGTAGAGAAGGTGGTGTGACAAGTTAAAAGACTATGAGTGATTTTTCTCTTGATAAGGCTCCAGATTTCGAATAGGGTTCGGTGATGTACGAAATGCCAAAACTTGAGGAGGGTTTGTCTTTGTAAAAAGGACCGAGTAAATACTTGTTAAATAGGGTGATGTGCTGGAAAAAGATATGGACAAATAATGTATGAGATGACCACCTTTTAACCTTGATCATCTAAAGTATGTATGATAAACTTGAAAATGGAGACGTAGGAGGTTTTTTATTTCGTTGGATGACCTTGTTTTCTGATTAAAAAGAGTAAAGAACCTCTGGTAACCTCCATTCATGAATTATAGCCATTGGCTCTCTCTTAATGGTGGTTTGCGGTAAGATTCTCTAGAAGACATGGGAAGCATGAGCTCTAAATGCAAATCAAGTTGTGTCGTCGAGGCTTTTGCTTGTACATGTACCAGCATTACTACCCATATGTGGAGCTTAGGGAAACAAGGAAGTTGGAGGAAAGGGAGGAGGCTGCAAAAGGAAAGTCCCAAGATGTCATACCTTTAAGATTGGATGTCCCAAAACCAAAAGTTCCAGGGAGCTCATGATGGAATTCAGTGAACCAATAGAATGAGTTCGACTTTATACATGTGTCTTGAAATGCCTCACAGGGTACATGGTCAAATACTCTAAAAATATAGCAGGCAACGAAATAAAAAGTACCCCAAGATGTCTTGATTGCATCCCTATAGATTGGCCCTATATCCAATATGTGGTTTGTCATATTTTGATCATCCATGTAAAAAAATTGAAACCGTTCACATACAATATGTGGCTTTGGTCATTCCTCTTTGTGTTAAATTGGGACAATGCTTCAGCCTTTTTGGGTTAAATTCTACAGTGGTCGGGGAAGTGATATTCCTGATAAAAAAAAGAGGTAAATAGATGCATTAATTAGTATTTTGGACCTAACAGTGGTTGCTGGTCGGATGATCACCTTACAATTGGGCCACCCCTTCATAAATTCGCACGATGAATTGTTCACTTCTGGTATACAAAATATTGCGGTAGTCTTCGGTAACAGTGGTAGTCTAAAACTGGGTGTTGCACGGTGAGATGCACCTGGGTGTTAAGGTCTGTGCATGAATAGCAGTCACCGACTGTTGTGTCCTTTTCATTCCTTGCTACTTCGTAAATTTGCAGTCAGTAGTTGGAAGTCATTCCTGCGCATGTCGGAGTTCTCATTCCTGCTGACTGGGCACGTCCCCGGCTGACAGAAAACTGACTCGTCTGTGTATGAGTCAGAGGGGACGTGCTGACTGGGCACGTCCCCGCCTGAAAGAAATCCGACAGAGTCTGCTCATGTGTCAGAGGGGACGTGCTGATTGGGCACGTCCCCCAATTTATTTTTCCATTTCGAGTGGTATACTGCCTGGTGGGCAATACTAAAAGCGCATCAAAATTGCAAACCTTTCATTCACGCCAAATTTTCCTACCAGCCCACACTAAGGGATACTTAATTGATTACGATTGATTCAGCCCAATTATGAAAAAGAATATGGATAATTTCACGAACTTCTTTCAAGATCTATGACAATTGCAGAAAGTTCCTCTCCAATTTCAAGTTACACCCTCTCTTTACCTGTTTCTAGTAGCATAAAAATCCAATTTGATATTGTAAGCCAAATATGCCATCTATTAAACTTTGTAAACAAACCAAAAAAAAAAGAAAAAATTCCTTCTAAAATGGCATGAGAAAGAAACGCTGCACAATCTTCTATCTTTAGAGAAGAACTGTAATAAACTTCTCCAAAATATCTAGCATATTCAACATAATAACATTTTCAAGCAATTAGTTACCCTTTATAATTAAATAAACAAATGCACAACCATATAAAATAAAAGTCATCATATTTATTACAAAAGTAAAGACTAAATTTTCTAAGATACATGTGCATTTTTGTATCAAAATTTCAACTTTGAAAGCCTATCTTGCTTTTTAATTTTGATAATTGAAACTGGGCTAATTGCTCTGATTATTGCCCAAAAAAAAAAGGTCGGAACAATGTTGTTCTGACAATTTGGCAGTAGAAAACTATGCCTACCGGGCTGAGTCAGTCCGGTAGACAAGAGAATTCTTTTTTTTTTTTTTTAAGGTTTGAGCCCTGCAGCCTGTAGCTTACTTTAAAAAAAAAATAAAAACTTATGCTATCGGTAGCCTTTGTGGTTAATTTTTTGTTAAGCTCAAACGTATGAAAAAGGTCAAGATAAATTTGCTAAATTAATTATTTTTATCCCTAAAAAAAGTTTTTAGATAAAAAAATGTCATTCAATTTACAAGAATATGCATTTTCCAAATGTTTGAAAAATAATCGTTGAAATTATTATGTATAAAATTTGGTTTTATATTTTTTTATAAAATATATAGAAAATTGATATATATCTAAATAAAATATACAAATAAATTATTATTTGGTAGTGGGTTGTTAAAAGAATAAAGGTAAAAATAAATATAATAGTACTTAAAAGTACTTAACAATGTTTAGTCGGCTGACAACCTGCAACTTAACTTTAAAAAAAAAAAAAAGAAAAAAACTTGCAAGCCGGCAGCCAGCTTAAATTTCTTTTTTTAATTAAAAACTTTTGCTGGCTGTAGTTGGGGTTCGCCTGCACCATTAGCACAAAAAAGCTGCAGGGGAATCTCTTTTCGATCAATGGAGCTCACTTGCTCCTTTCCTTATCTTTTCCTTTTTTTTTCCCGGATGGAATAATGCAAGTTTTGCTTTTTTCCCTCTGACTCATACGCAGACGGAGTCAGTTTTCTGTCAGCCGGGGACGTGCCCAGTCAGCCCGTCCCCTCTGACACCGACTGTGCATCATTGAATTTTTTTGCAGAGAAGATCTGGGTGGAATTTTTAGTTATGCGGCCGTGCTGACGCTATACAATTAGAAAAACCCATGTCAGAGGTGCATTTGGCGGATGTTTTTTTTAAATACAAATAATCTGAGAAATTAGCCGGGGGAAAGTAGTGCAACTTCATTTAATTTGTAACCACCTTGTAGATGGGTGTTATAACAAGAACTCCATACGTTGCATAAGGATTTAATTAAGCTAAACGTCCCAACTCCTTCACTCTTCTTCCTCTTGGTTCCTAATATAATCATGCGTAAGTAATCTTCCTCGGCGTTAAAATGAGTGTGATAGGGGCAGAGAGTAAAGTACGGACAGGATGGAAAAGCAAAACATTAAATAAAATCTGCGATCTGTCATTGTAGAAGCAAAAAAATCAAACTTGTCCATGGGAAATTAATCATCATCATCAAACTTGAAATTTGAATTGCCTCGCGCAGGTAAGGGCTTCGGCATCGTCATGTCCCGTGTCCCGTACATGGCATGGCGACTGAAGGAGTCGTGCATTGCATTGCAAGCTGCTGCTGCAGCATCCCTGGTCAACTGCCAGACGCCCCGCCTGTCCATGCATTGAATGCATGTGTTCTGCTCAGAAATTGTTCAGCTGGTGTGGCGTGGTGGTTAATGTGATCGACCCCTCTCATCGATTGAGACCAACCTATCATCTCCTACCCACCCCAAAAGCTTTTATTAAATATTTTTTTTTTTAAGGGAAAAAAAAATTTTTTTTTTTTTTTTTTTTTGGAATGAATTGGCCTTCAGTCGAAGATCGGCGTTCCATTCCATATGATACTCTCCTGGGAGAGTTAAAAGGAAAAGGGTTCCCTGCGATACTCTCTCCTCCTATTTTGAGTTTTGAATAAAGAGAACGAGTGCCTTGCTGCACTAGAAATCCAACTTGGCTAGGCCATCATTTCTGTCCAGCATGATAACAAGTTTGATATATATATGACAAATTCTTTTAAAGAGAGAAGGAAGAAAGAAAAAAAGGGTAAAGCAATTGCGTTCCAAGTCAATGCAATTAATTATGTGGATGTTGAGAGAAGTCTTGTGCCGGCTTTGTGGGTGTTACCATGGCATAGAGTCCTATACTAAATGATGATGATTTCGCTCTCTAGTTTATTATACTCTTTTTGGTTTTATTTTACCATAGGCCTCGGAGCGTTTGGGTGGTAGGAAATGGAGATAAGAGAAGAGAAAGTATGAGAAATTGCTTTTTTTTTCTTGTGTTCCATAGAGAGAGTCGCCGGTGATTTTCTTACTTGCTACGTATTTCTTCATGATAAATATGGAAAGCAAACATTGTATGATAGTAGCAGCATGGAAACTAGTTGATGCTAAGTTGCTAACAACAACAACAACCAAAAAAAAAAAAAAAAATTTTCTGAGACACGTCGGAGAACGTGCACCCTTTCTGAAGTGAAATCAGGAAACTTTTTACAGTACTGCGTTTTGCAATATTATTACTATAAAGCACTCGTACGTTTTTGTTTCTTATTTTTATTATAAAAAAAAAATAATAATAAGAAACTACGCTACAGTAGACTTTGGCTTTTGTACTTCAAACTCGATCATTTGTCCTTTCTTTTAATTTTGAATTTTGACGGCACAGCGCGTTCCTTTTTGCATTTCTTTCTCATCTTGACCACCACGAGTCTAAAACCTGCAACTCTCTTCTCTACCGTGTTTATAACTTTACTCTTGATTTTAATAATAATAATAATAATTAGTTTATTAGGACTCCATCCTTCAACTCTGATAATTAGGATGCTTTTCAGGCACAAAATCTTTTTTTTTTTTTTTTTTTTACAAATATATAGTAAATAAAACTCTTTAATACTTTAAGGAAATGAAGTGTAATTTCTAAATTCTTGGGACCTAAAGATCTTTGTCATCCTGGAATAGAACAAATGCCATATGTTCAATTATCTGCATCATTCCTATATTCGCAATTGCACTTTTTTTTTTTCTTGAATTGTCATTGACTTTTTTGCATAGCCGAAATGCTACTGCAGGCATATCCTCCAGGCT